AGTTGTCCCCGTAGCACACTTAACTCTTCCTCGCTCATGCGGTAGATGCAACCACGCGGAGATACGGCCCCGACCTCGAGGATGATCTCGTGGCGGATGGGCCAATCCGGTACTACTCCATGCGGGGCTTCGAACACGTCGTCGTAGGTGTCGAGAAGCTCTGTGATGCATGGATCCGTCGATGCGTCCGTCGGTGAGATGTAATGGAGCGGGAGGGCGTGGAGACAACACACACCCATCTCCTCGATGTCGTCTCGGGTGATGGAAGCTCGAATGCTCACGGCGGACACCACGTGACAGCTTATCGAAGGGTGAGGTGAAGGCACCGTGCATGGGACTAGTACTCTGTTCCGATCACGAACGTGAACGATGCGGAGATAGAAGTTCACCGGTTGGTCCTCACTTCGCAGCCATGACATGCCCAAAATCATGTCGAATTGGGTGTCCAAAATGTTGAAGGACACGACCTCGCTTGCATGAGGGGCGAAGTACACGGGGACAAAATCAATCCACCGGTCGATTGACTTCTGCGTGTGACCATCGGCCAACGTGTGTGGGCTGCGACTTCCTCCGAACGCATGGCCCGAGGCCCGAGGCCTACGACTTGAGTGGCTCCGCAATCGATCAAAGCGCTGCAGGTCGCCTCTCCGATTTGAAACGCATCGATGTCGTCGTACCGTTGTCTTGAACTCACGGTCGATCTTCGCAACGTAGTCGTGAAGGTCGACAACCTCTACTCCGGCATCCATCAACGGAGCTGGTACTGTAGTGTGCAAGTAATCCCGCAATTGTCCCACGAGCACGTTGCAATGCGGTTTCGACAATCGACCGGTCGGGGGAAGGGGCATCCATTGGAAGTCCACAAACGTCAACGGGTCGAGTTCTTCAAGTCTTGACCATGACATCGAATCCCTGACGAAATTGGGCGGCGAAGCTGCCGAATCGGTTGCCGATGGCTATGAAACCGTGCATGCGGTGAATTGCTGCGAGTGGAGTGGTTGGTCCAACGGTGGGACCAAGTGGACAGCATAATCCTCCTAAGTGAACCAAGGACTCGCGACATTCGCATCCTCCCCAATTGTGTAGGAGGCCGTTAGCAAGGCAGCCAAATCTGGCGGAGTGAGAGGTGGAGTCGCCTCACCTTTGCGCAACTTAGTTTCCCGAGTTCATGCAAGGTCTGTGTTTGGTGCTGTTGCACCAATGGCAGCAGCCGTAACGGTTGCGGTACTTGTATTCGGCCTCGGTCAAGTTGAACTTGACCCATGGTGTTGGCTGTCCGTTTTCGGCCAGTGATGCAGTTTTCGCCTTCCCTTTTCCACGGGAGTTGTTGTTGCTTCACGGCTGGAGAGCGGGCACCTGATCTCCCTCACGTGATGCTGAGGTGGCTGCCGGGTCTTCCACAATGTTGTCCGGTTGGACTGCAGTGACATGTTGCGGACGCGGACCAAAATTTCCCTTCTCCGCATAGGCTGGCTGCCACGCCGACTTCTCGTGTGCAGCAGCCCGATTGGTCTTGATGATCTCTCACTCCTTGTCGAGAATTTCGGCAAAGGTCGTGCACTGCTCGTGATCGCCGAGTGCGAGGCTCAAGGCGGCACACAACCGGTTGTAGAACTCTCGGCGCCGATGTGAAAATGGTTACTCAAGATCGGGCATTGCCATGATCTTTTGCCATTCCGTGAGCCAATAGCGTGTCGGTGTGTTGCCTTGGGTCATGGTGAAGAGGCGGTTGATGGCGAGCGTCGGGGCGTCGTCAACGATGAACCGCTTCTTCCATTCTCTCGCCAGATCTTCCCAGGAGATCTTCTTGTATAGGTGATTGACTTGGATGCCGTAGATGGTTGCCATGTGGCTGAGCCAGATCTGGCATCGGCCTTTGACGTTGAGGACAGCGCCGAGATGAACAAGTATTCGGGGACCTCGTGAATCCCATGCTCCGTTGTAAAACCGTCCCACCAGACGACTGGGTCCTGATGCGTATAGTCGTCAAATTTCTCGATCCGGAATGTCGGCATCTTGTAGTGCTTCAATGAACTGGTGCTGCAATCGTTATCGGGCGACTGGTGTAGCTGCCTGAGCTCGGTCTGCAAGGTGCCGATGGTGGCTGGTGCGGTGAAGGTGCTGATGTTGCAGAGCATTGCGACTACATGGTCAAGTCGTTCCTCCAATTGTCGGGTTGAGGCTGCATTGCGGGGTTCGCCAGCGCCTGGTCTTGGTGCTGCTTGCTCCAAGTCCTGTACACGGGAATCAAGTGCCCATGTAACATCCTCGTGCAGATCCTTGTGGTTCCGCACTGCCCGTCGGAGATTCGTCAGCTCCTGCTGCTGTTTCACCATTTCCTGGTGTTGTTTCTCTGACTCGGACTGCAGGTGGTTACATGTGTAAACCAACCGGGTCACGAGTTCGGAGAGGAACTCCTTGTGCTGCTCTTCCAGTGTGGCGTCGTCATGGTCCTCGGATGGTTCAAAATTCCAGAACTTGAGCTTTTCGACGCTGGCGGCTTCGTGCCGCTGTAGCAGATCCTGGTCCTCCTTGCGGCGGGCCTGAGCATCTGCGTCAGCCTCAGCCTGAAGCCGCTACTTTTCAGCTGCTGCTTCCACTTCAGCCTGTAGCCGGGCAGCCTCGGCTGCCGCCTGGCGCTGTTCCTCAGCCTCGATCAGTGCGAGCTGAGCTTGGAGCCGCTGTCTGTACGTGGCAATGGACTCGTTGGCCAGTTGGCCTGGCATGCCTAAAGCTGGAACCGTCATGGTGGCGGGGCACTACTGACGTTGGTACTGCTGCCGTGGCACTGTTGCTGACGTGGCACTGCTACTGATGTGGCACTGCTGACATCGCACTGTTGCTGATGTGGCTATGCAACCGACGTGGCACTGCTGACATGGCACTTTACCAAACTGGGAATGCAGGCAAAGGGTTCGGTGGGAGGGAAAACGCGGGGAGGTAACCAACCGAACTGTACTTTCCTCCCTGTCAAAATCAACAGAATAAAAATAGAAATAAAAATAATCTAGGCATGAATGAGGCATTTCAGAGGTGTACTATGAGCGAGATCTAGGCAAGGTTTTGCAAAGTTTCGGCTTTCAAAAAAAATGCGATCTTGAAAAAAAAATTTGCACGAAATAGACTGGAGGTTCCACTTTCATAGAAGAATAGATCCAGTCCGAGAATATGACAACCTCCCTGGTTCACCTAGTATGCCCAGAGTAAAGCAGAAAACGAAATGCTAATGTGAGGAACAAGCCCTCAAGTGGCCCTTTCAGACATCACATTGTTTTGGGCCAAGGCCCCAGCAAGCCAAGTGCCCGCCCTATGTGAAGGCG